TTTTCCTTTTTTATTTTTTTTTAAGAGACAGAGTCTCACTTTATTGCCCTCTGTAGAGTGCTGTGGCAGGGTCACAGCTCAAAGCAACCTCCAGCTCCTGGGCTTAGGTGATTCTCTTGCCTCATCCTCCCAAGTAGCTGGGACTACAGGCACTCGCCACCATTTTTTTTTTTTTTTTGGTTGCAGCCATTATTGTTGTTTGGCGCCCGGGCTGAGGATTTGAACCCGCCACCTTAGGTGTATGTGGCTGGTGCCTTAGCCGCTTGAGCCACAGGCGCCGAGCCTACATATGTATTTTTAAAGCAAGGTATTGAAGAATGAAGATAGTGTGCTACTGTCTGTGCAGAAAGGGAAAAAATGTATATTATATGTTTAAGTATCTTAAGTGCTAACTGTCCTAAAAGGATGCTTGAGAAATGAGTAACACTGATCCTATGATTATTCCTGAAACTAAGTTTGTCAAATAAAGGGAAGAGGTGTTTTAAAATGACGCCACATCTGGGGAGATTGGCAAGTGTGTGGGCCATGCCCTTCTCACAGTTTGATTTTCTTTTATTCCTTTGCTTACCACATGGATTTTTACTTAAAAAAAAAATATTGAAACTTTCTGGCACAAGCTACATCATAATAGTTAGAGCATTAATCCTACCACCTTAAAACACCTGAGCCACTTTTTAAAGCCGTGTGTTTCAAGGTGGAGGCAAAGCAAGGCAGTGGCAGTTCTTAAAGGTAATGAATGTAATCCCAGCATTGAGAGCTCCCGCAGGGAGGATGTGGGCGGAGCCTGTCTCCCCTGGAGGTGGGTGCTCAGTTAGACCCAGGGGCCTCGGCAGCCTTGAGGAGCTCAGAGGCAGATCTCAGCTAAGCAAAGACAAGCATTATCTCCTGCTAAGCTGTTCTTCTGTGGAGCCAAATGTTAAACCCTTGAATGTAAGAAAAATGCACACCTGGGTATTTTTATTTATTTATGATTTGTACCCTGTAAAATCCAAAAAGCAAAATGTTAGAAAGCTTACTAGATTTATGAATAATATAAAACTGGACAAGTACAGGTTAAAGCAGGTTGGAAACCAGTAACAGGAGCTGTACCCTAGCTGTTAGCAGCTGTTAGAAGCCCCTGGGACAAGTTAATTACTGTAGCCGAGCACTGAATTTAGCTTTGGATTTCTTGGCACATAAAGTAAAAGGGGGAATATAGAGAATATGGTTTTCTTTATTGGAAAGCAGAAAAGAGGAAGTTGTGGCTGAGCAGATGGACATTTTCTGGATAATCAATTCAAGAAGGAAATTCTAGTGCAGGTCCTTCTTAATATGTAGGATAACCCAGGTCTTTATGATACCTGTTGAGGTATTAAAATTGGTCAGAATATGCCAAACCTGAGAAAATATACAGTCTCATTTGACAGCCACCTCTGCCTCAACAGCTGCCACACCAGCCCACGTATTGCCATCTCTCATTGGGATGCCATGCTGATGTCTGCACCCACTCTGGTCCCTTCTGGTGTCTTCTCTGAGCTGTGCTCAGGGTGTCTTTTTGGCATGCAAGTCTGATTGTGCCCTGTCACTATTCCGGTCCTATCTGCTTGTCATTCTTGTGTCCTCCAGTCTCGGGGTATGAGACCCAGACCCTCCCATCTCCCCAGCTCTCCTACTGTACTCTCTCCTGCTGTCTCTTTAATCCTTCTTTATGGCCACGCATCCTTTGAACATCCTTTTCCCTCTCCCTTATTAACCTATACTCCTCTTTGGAGTGAAGCTGCATTGTCATCAGAAGCACCCAGAGCCCTGGGGCCTCTCCCCAAGGTTGTCTCTCTTCTCTCATCCCCTGTACCTCTCGCAGTGGGGCTTATCTCTGTTGAGGTGTCTGCCCCACTAAATCCTAAGCCTCACAAGGCCAGGCACTGGCTCAGCTTTTGCTCATTGTTACTCCCAGCTCTAAACACATCACCTTGTCTATAGTAGGGTGTAAGTAGATACTCAAGGGAAGGGGCGTCTGTTAATTGGTGAGTGTCTTAGTTGTTTTATGTTATAACAGAATGCCACAGACTGGGTGATTTATAAAGAACAGAATCTATTTTTTACATTTCCAGAGGCTGGGAAGTGGAAGTTTCTAGGCCCCAGCATCTGGGAAGGCCTTGCTGCATCTTCACATGATGGAGGGCAGAAGGAGGGCAAGAGAAAGCCCGCTGCCTCCCGAAACCCGTTTTCTAGCTAGGTTAACCCAATCCTGAGGGCAGAGCACTCAACTCCTGAACACCTCTCCGAGGCCCCACCTTCCAACACTCTGTGCATTATGGATTGAGTCTCCAACACGTGAATTTGAGGGGACACATTCAGACCACAGCAGTGACCCAAACACGGCAGCAGCTACCTTCTGTAATGGACAGTGTCTCCTGCGGAGACATTTTCCCCAAAGAACAGCACTAATCACTTCATTTCCCAGCACCAAAATGTTCAAGGAGCTTCCGTTCCTTAGAGCACACAGTCCACACCCCTTATTTAGCCCTCCTTGACTTGCACTTAAATTACATTTCTAAACTCATTTCTCCCCGGCTTCTGCCTACACGTTACCCCAGCCCAGCCTCCTCTGCATTTGCCAATCTTATCTATCCCTTAACTAAGAACCCTGGTTGAAAGTACTGCCTTCCATTGTTGGAAGTACCTTTGACGCGGTACTTACTTGCTATCTGAGTAATAAGTATTTTATGTAATCTGTCTCCCATATTAGGTGATAACCAAGTCTTGTGTAATGTCTAGCATGAGCCTCCCATTGTGGGTGCTTAATACAAATATGCTAAATGAGTGGCAATTGTGTTCAGCATCTTAGTAAGCCAGTCTTTTTTTTTTTTTTTTTTTTTT